GCAAAAACTAGGTGTACTAGAGAATGGAAAAGGTACAGAAGACAGAGAACTCAGGAAAATAAAGAAATCAGCCGAAGAGCCAGAAACGAATATGCACAGATAAGAAGGGAGGCTCAGAGACAATATGAAAATGACATAGCATCAAAAGTAAAGACTGACCCGAAGCTGTTGTACAGCCACATCAGGAGGAAAACAACAGTCAAGGACCAGGTAATCAGACTGAGGAAGGGTGATGGGGAATTCACAAGAAACGACCGAGAGGTATGTCAGGAGCTCAACACAAGATTTCCCCTCAAGGAAGGTTCCTTGATGTTGGTGAGGGGCTCTTGATTTAGGGAATTGGATCTGTGCTCCAGTTCCCCGAATTAAGCCTGAATGCCTTCCACATCCCCCCCCCCAGGCGCTGTATAATCCTCCGGGTTTAGCGCTTCCCCCTTGATTATAATAATAATAATCAACACAAGATTTAAAGAGGTATTTACAGTGGAAACCAGTAGGACTCCAAGAAATCAGAACAGGGGGGCACACCAGCAAGTGCTGGATGAGGTACATATAACCAAGGAGGAGGTGAAGAAGCTGCTATGCGAACTTGACACCTCAAAGGCGGTGGGACCAGACAACATCTCTCCATGGGTCCTTAAAGAGGGAGCAGAGATATTGTGTGAGCCATTAACAAAGATCTTCAACACATCATTTGAAACTGGGCAACTCCCTGAGGTATGGAAAATGGCAAATGTAGTCCCAATTTTTAAAAAAGGGAGACAGACATGAGGCACTAAACTACAGACCTGTATCTCAAACCCGTGTATAGTATGCAAGGCATGGAGAAGATCATCAGGAGAGAGTGGGGGGGCACCGGGAAAAGAAACAAGTGTATAATTGACAACCAGCACGGTTTTTAGGGAAGGAAAATCCTGTGTCCACAAACCTACTAAATTTATGACAAGGTACAGAAGTAAGACAAGAGAGAGAGGGGTGGATCGACTGCGTATTTTTGGACTGCAAGAAGGCTTTCGACACAGTTCCTCACAAGAGGTTACTGGGAAAAGCTAGAGGACCAGGGACACATAACAGGGAAAACACTGCAATGGGGTCAGAGAATATCTGACAGGGAGGAAACAACGAGTCATGGTACGCGACGAGGTGTCAGAGTGGGCGCCTGTGACAAGCGGGGTTCCACAGGGTCAGTCCTAGGACCTGTGCTGTTCTTGGTATACGTGAACGACATAACGGAAGGGATAGACTCAGAAGTGTCCTTGTTTGCAGACGATGTGAAGTTAATGAGAAGAATCGAATCGGACGAGGATCAGGCAGGACTACAAAGAGATCTGGACAGGCTACAAGCCTGGTCCACAACTGGCTCCTTGAATTTAACCCTGCCAAATGCAAAGTCATAAGATTGGGGAAGGCAAAGAAGACCGCAGACACAATATAGTTTAGATGGCCAAAGACTGCAAACCTCACTAAAGGAAAAAGATCTGGGGTGAGTATAACACCGCGCATATCTCCTGAGGCGCACATCAATCAGATAAACTGCTGCAGCATACGGGCGCCTGGCAAACCTACGGATAGCGTTCCGATACCTCAGTAAGGATTCGTTTAAGACTCTGTACACCATCTACGTCAGGCCCATACTGAGTATGCAGCACCAGTTTGAATCCACACCTAGTCAAGCACGTCAAGAAATTAGAGAAAGTGCAAAGGTTTGCAACAAGACTAGTCCCAGAGCTACGGGGATTGTCCTATGAAGAAAGGTTGAGGGAAATCGGCCTGACGACACTGAGGCCAGGAGGGTCAGGGGAGACATGATAACGACATATAAATACTGCGCGGAATAGACGAGGTGGACAAAGACGGGATGTTCCAGAGATGGGACACAGACACAAGAGGTCACAATTGGAAGTATGAAGACTCAGATGAATCAAAGGGATGTTAGGAAGTATTTCTTCAGTCATAGAGTAGTCAGGCCGTGGAATAGCCTAGAAAGTGATGTGGTGGAGGCAGGAACCATACATAGTTTTAAGGCGAGATATGATAGAGCTCATGGGGCAGGGAGAGAGAGGACCTAGTAGCAATCAGCGAAGAGGCGGGGCCAGGAGCTGTGAATCGACCCCTGCAACCACAAATAGGTGAGTACAAATAGGTGAGTACACACAACATATAAAATACTGAGAGGAATTGACAAGGTGGATACCGACAGGATGTTCCAGAGATGGGACACAGCAACAAAGGGTCACAACTGGAAGTTGAAAATTCATATGAGTCACAGGGATGTTAGGAAGCATTTCTTCAGTAATAGAGTTGTCAGGAATTGGTACAATCTGAAAAGTGATGTAGTGGAGGCAGGATCCATACTCTCTCCCTGCTCATGGACCAGGGAGAAAGAGGGACCTAGTAACGACCAGCGAAGAGGCGGGGCCAAGAGCTACAACTCCACCCCTGCAGCCACAAATAGATGAGTACAAACAAGTGAGTATTTCCAGTAAAAAAAAGCATTACTGTTACAGCGGGATGGATAAAAAATTCTGAATATCTGCATGAGATATAAAATGATTCTGACGTATAAATACCGGCGTACAAATCCGGGCGTATAAATCCGGGCGTACAAATACGGGCGTACAAATACGGACATACAGATACGGACATACAGAGAGAAGAACATTCATACACGAGCATACAGACACGGCTTCTCCCCTCTCCCTTCAGGGCAGACCCATAAAAACCTAATGAAAGTGTATGTCTGTATTGTTGATCAATAATACCAGGAGTGTGTGTCTCCCTCTGAAGCTGGTATTATACACTGTCTCCCTGTGAGCTCAGTATTACACTGTCTCTCTGTGTAGTCAGTATAAGTTACACTCTCCTGTGTGACAGTAATAATAATAATAATAAAAGTACTTCTTACTACGTTCTCTTTTCTCCATAAGAACTCCAGGATGGGTACAGGAGGTGTTAAGTGCTGCTCCTTGGCGACCTCTGCTCCCTGTTGCTCCCTATACTCCCTGCTCCCTGCCCCTTCTTTCCTGCTTGCTTCCACCCTTGTTCATTTTCCATCTCGTTCTCACTTGCCCTGTTGCCTCCCTGGAATTATTCCCCTCTCCCTCGCTTCCCCTTTGCTTCCCTTGAGCAGTTCCTTTCCTTCGCCTCCCCTCGAATCTCTTGGATCAGTTTCGCCCCTCTGATAGTACTTCATGAAGCTCCACTAATCAATCTGGCAACTTTGTGAGGTGACAACTTTGCCAAAGTCACCTCTTTATATCGTGTGTAAATACCTGGCTAGCGCTACAAAGGCTGAGCTCACAAGTTTAATTGAGCGCATACCACATTGTATATACCAGCCCTCCCTGCCTTCTCCCTCTCACCCTCCCTGCCTTCTCCCTCTCACCCTCCCTGCCTTCTCCCTCTCACCCTCCCTGCCTTCTCCCTCTCACCCTCCCTGCCTCTTCCCTCTCACCCTCCTGCCTCCTCTACACCTCTTTCTACTTCCTCCCTGTCACCCTTCCTGCCTCATCTACACCTCTCTCTTCCTACTTCCTCCCTATCACCCTCCTTACCTTCTCCCTGGTCCTCACTCTCTCTTTTCTCTTCCAACCTCCTCCTCCTCCTCCCATCTCTTACTCTTCCATATCTTCCTCTCTCCCTTTCTGCTACAAGCCTCCTTCCTCCTTTCCAATGTTCCTCCTTTACTTTTCACCCTTTCTTGTCCCTCTCTACCTCCCACATTTTCACACGTCACTTCTACTCTCCCCTCCCTCCCACTTCCTCTTCTCTCCTTCCTCACCTCCCAATTTTCTCCCGTTTTTCTTCCTGAGACATGCTAATTCCAAAGAAAAAGTAACACCACCTCCGATACAGTCAGACCTTGGAGGATGTCGTACCTACTGAACCCAGAGAAGACTTCTTGACGATATCCTCATGGCACACCGAGGGTCCGTGGCTCGATTCCCGGCACGGGTGGAAACGTTAGGTATGTTTCCTTACACCTGCTGTCCCTGTTCACCTAGCAGTAAGTAGGTACCTGGGTGCTAGTCACCTTACACCTGATGTCCCTGTTCACCTAGCAGTAAGCAGGTTATTATTATTATTATTATTATTATTATTATTATTATTATTATTATTATTATTATTATTAGCAGTAGTATTAGTATTATTAATATTATTATTATAATCACAGGGAAGCGCTAAACCCGTAGGATTATACAGCACATGTGGGGGGATGGAAGGTATTCAAGCTCAATTCAAAAGCCCCTCACCAGGGTCAAGGAACCTCCCTTGAGGGGCAGTAAGCAGGTACCTGGGTGTTAGGGACTGGTGTGGGTGGCATCCTGGTGGGGGGTAGTATACCTCAGATAGGGCTGGGCTTTAAAATGAGCTGAGGTAAGATAACAGCTCTTGACCTGGTATTGTATACCATTTATGTACAGCTTATTTTTAAATATTCGAAATATATACAATCTGCCTCTCTGGCTGCTTGAGGAAAATTGAAAGGTGACGGGGGACTCGAGTTGTGTAATGGAGAGTTGAATCCCATCAACCACCATTAAGCTGAGCGTCACTTGTTCACCACCATTATTATTATTATATTTATGGATTAAAAGCCCCTCACTGGTGGTGTACCCCTTGAAGGGGTTCACCACCAAACACGCTTTAAACCCTAAAGTCCCTAAAATGTACATATACACTGAGAGATATACACCTCTCGTTGTATATACTTTATGCTGGCGTGTCTGGTTTAGGGCCAATAGCTAAAACAAAAGAGTGTTTAAGAATATGAAAAAAACAACTGACCTTATATATTACACTGTTCTTGATAACGTGAATAACAAAGACATTGATAGAGTTAACGAAGTCGTTTATTTAGACTATATAATGTGGCAGAAATCGCCAAAAGATAACGTCGTTTAGAAGTTATTGACGTCCCTGGGTGACACCCTGGTTGACCCCTTGGCTAACACCCTGGTTGGCGTCAACACCCCCCCCCCAGTCTACTGTGTGGGGTGTGAGCTGTGAGTGAGTGTGGTCAGTGAAGTGCTGAGGGCTGGTCACCAGCCTTCCGGATTATGCTCTCCCAAAATTCGGATATTCAGAGCATATATTCACCGAGATGCTTATTCCCCCTCAGCGTATATATGCTGAGCGTTTAATCCCTCTTTAAGGGATTGAAGTAGTCTTGTCTAGTGGCGAGAAAGGTTACGTGCAGCCTTTCAATGACCCTAGTGTAGTCGATAGACTTGAAACCCCCCATTGAGGAACCAGGAAAGAGCCTCTGGATGACGCCGTCACTAGCAAACTTCAAAGTAAGTCTTGAATTTTATGTTAGAGCTAAGTTAGGAAGATTTAATTATAATTTAGATTGAACCTTTATCAAATAAATTTAAGAGCAGATTTATATTGTTCTTTGAATTATACACACGAATCTGAGCACGGGCGGGCACGTTCAAACACGTACGCCCATATTCACACGCCTACACCCACATACACCCTCAAACACGTACACAGATCTACACGCACACACGAAAAGGTGGGACCAGGAGTTGCGAATCGACCCCTGTAACCACAACTAGGTGAGTACACTGTGTGTGTGTGTGTGTACACTCTCCTGTTTGAGGTTGCGGGGGTCGATTCACGGCTCCTGGCCGTGCCTCTTCACTGATCGCCACTAGGTCCTCTCTCCCTCTCCCTGCTCCATGAGCATTATCATACCTCGTCTTAAAACTATGTATGGTTCCTGCCTCCACTACGTCACTTTTCAAGCTATTCCACTTCCTGACAACTCTTTAACTAAAGAAATACTTCTTAATATCCCTTTGACTCATCCAAGTCATCAATTTCCAATTGTGACCTCTTGTTTCAGTGTCCCATCTCTGGAACATCCTGTCTCTGTCCACCTTGTCAGTTCCTCGCAGTATTTTATATGTCGTTATCATGTCTCCCCTGACCCTCCTGTCCTCCAGTGTCGTCAGGCCAATTTCCCTTAACCTTTCTTCGTAGGACATTCCCCTTAGCTCTGGAACCAATCTTGTTGCAAACCTTTGCACTTTCTCTTAATTTCTTAACGTGTTTGACCAGGTGTGGGTTCCAAACTGGTGCTGCATACTCCAATATGGGCCTAACGTACACTGTGTGTGTATGTGCATGTGCTTGTCAATGTCCCTGTCTCTCCCCCATTTCAATAAGAGAATAAGAAGCGTCATCCACAACACACAATCTTCATACAAAAAAAGTGGAAGTTTTAAACACTGGAGAGAGCGTTCAATATGGAACTTCAGCCAATGGTTACAGCGTTCGTTTCTTTTTCACCTTCCAGCTGTTACGTCAGGGTGAGGTCAAATGGGAAAGGGGGGAAAACATCGGCGTTACTTTTTCCCCGCTCAATCAGAACGTCATGGAACGAGGAGCTTCGACGTTCCCACCAAAAACACATTCTGCTTGAGTGACGTTTAAATTACCGGAGCCTCGTGTATCATTCATTGATGGAAGTTAATCAGCTGCTAATACTCTTCTCCCTGTCATCCCTCCCTCGTGTGATGCTGCCACGGTGATTGTCGTTACTGTGTTGCACGGTGAGCACCTCGTCTATAGTCGTCGTCTTCCAAATCGTAAGTTAGTTGTAGCCTGTTGCAGCCACGGTGTTGTGACTCGCGTTTCAACGCGGTGGTGCGTTCGTATTGTCTTTTAGGTTTTAAAGACCGTAGGTCGCGGGCGGGTCAGTAAGGCTGCAGGTCATCTGTGTTTAAATGGGGGATTATAGTCATTTGTCAGTGTATATACTTGGATAAGCACTGCTCGGCGTATATACTGTGAGGTAAACATAGCTCGATATAAATATACGCTGAGATACACACCACAGTTACGATTTTGCCCTAGGCACTTCAATATATATGTATATTGAGGGATGCACACACATCGATGTATACTCAGTATATATATTAAGATATACACACCCTATATATACGGTATATATCCTGTAGGTGGAGAGGAGACATTTACTTCTCTGTGTATGTCTCTCGGCGTATATATCTTGAGTTTAATCCCTACTTTAAGGATTCAAGCTGTCTTGTCTGGTAGTGTAAAAGTTACGTGCGGCTTTATCGACCCTTGAGCAGTCGATAGCTTTAAACTCCTTTAGCCATCCAGCCTCAGAGAAAACAGTACGAACATTCTTGCATTACAGGTCGTCACATAAGCTAGATTCTCATCGACAGCGGCTTCGACTTCTAACCGAAAGACCAGGGTTAAATTTTGGACAATTCGAGACTATAGGCAGAGAGACTTATCACCTATTGCCCCTTGTTCACCTAGCCGGAAATAGGTACCCGAGTGTTGGATGATGTTGAAGGTGGCATCACGGAAAGAGGTAGATACGGGTAGATAAGGGTAGCCTTGACAGTGAACTGAGGTAGAATAACAGCTCTTGGTCTGTAAATTAAAGAAAAGGGAATGCCTGGGCATACAAATACCCAGATTCTCTCCCGCACCTGACGAAGAGAAAGCATATATCATTCCATTTAGAGGAACCAGGATAGATTATACAGCTCCATTAATCATGAACTAGCGTACACGCATGAATCCGCACCTACACAAACACTCTCGGGCAGACATAATGTTAAGAATCTTATATACTATGAGAGACCGACCGACCATTAATAACACCCGCTGTTAAACTTTTCTCTGATGGAGGAAGAGAAACAGACAAAAACAGTAGTACCTAATGTCCTATCAAATATTTCGCACGGGGGTTCGATATGTTCTCGTCATGAACGAAGCGTCTAAAACGAAATCATCCTCGTCTTGAATCTTGTATATACAGGGTGTGTCAAGCAGACGGACCCATCATTTTGAAACACCCTGTATATTGACAGCCGTATGAGCGGATCTCCCCCAGACAGTTGTCTTCACTAGCACTTGTCTTTCAGATGTTCTGACAACTTGTTTCTTCCCAGGATGTCTCAACAAACTTATTTATTCACAGGCCTGGCTTCCAACCGGTTTAATTTATTCTTTTGGTCAAAAATGTAAAGACTAAAAAATGATTTATTTTTCTCCTTTATCGATTTTTGTCTATCGTGATGTAAACAATAGGGAAAAGCTAAGTCCATTTTGGTCGCTGGGTGATCCCAGGGAATACTTCCCTGGGATCGCATCTCAGCAGAGATACATCTCAACGCTGATATGCGTCTTATCTGCGTCTCAGCTCAGGTGAGCTCAAAATCTTCAACACCCTTCCTGCCTCCTTATTACGTGACCCTTATTCATCTTTTGTTGCCTCCTGTCGGAGTATAACTAAATAGACATTTTGAGTGGTGGATCCCCGTTCAGGGGTGTTGAATTGTGTTGTCAAGATAGCTAGTGGAGGTCCCGTGGCTCGGTTGGCAACGCTCTCGCCTCACACTGAGTGTGGTTCAATCCCCAGGCACGGGCGGAAACGTTGGACATGCTTCTCTACACCTGCTGTCCCTGTTCACCTAACAGTAATCAGGTATCTGGGTATTAGTCAACTGGTGTGGGTCGCATCCTGTGGGACAAGATTGAAGACTCATAAAAATAATATAGTCCTCGATGACGCACCAATTATCCTGGGTGGCTAACCTCCCCCGGGTTAAAAATCCCAACAAATATCATATCGTCTGAACTCTGCTCCTTGGTGGTGGTCTAGGGAATGTTTTTTGTTTATAAGCTGAAAGCTGTCTTTAGTCTATATTTTAGACATTGCTCTTGACTGCCATCAACCAGAGAGCGGTGCAAATGAGCTCTTTGTAGTCGGAACTTCAGACGTATTAAGAAATCATGCTGGATCAGAGTTGCAAGGTATTGCAGGGTGTTGCAAGGTGTGTTGTCAGAATGGTGGACGCGGCCACAGGATTACACACTCTTTGAGGACATTTATAGCTCTGCCCTGATGAATATGTTGATAACATACAGCTTTTACACAGCCATGAACGAGCCTGTTTTATGGAGCAACATTTGTCGCCTCTTATAGTCGGCCAGGCTGTAGAGAGCAGCGCACACACTCCTCTATTGTCATGACGTGGTTGATGCTTCGTGGTGGTGATGGTGGTAGCAGTGCGATAGCAGTGGTGACGGGGGCCATGGTAGTGGTAATAGTACTAGTACCAGTGGTGGCAGGAAGCAGTACTCTGAGTCCCAAATTGTTACGTGGATGACACTTGGATTATGAGGTCATAAGGGTACCAGGTATGATTACAACCACCTCAACCATCACCATCACCATCGCCGCCGCCGCCACTAATGTGATGTAAGATACTATTTTTCTTCCAAAAGTTAATATTTGTCACTATTTCGATGGAGAGAAACAATAAAATAGACACGATGGAAAGTCACCAATGCAGGGCAATGCGACTCTGTGTTGACAACGTTTCGCCCACGAGGGGGAAGGGGGGCTTTATCAAGACACAAACATCTGTGACATGTGTGGGCGAAATGATGTCAGTAAGGAATCATATTATACTGCATTTCTCTTTCGACCCATAATTTCCTTAAATAATCCTGGAAGGCGTTACAGGTTCTAGTCGAGTCTGGTATTAGCAACTGTACCAGGTTGCTAGGTGGGCGGGATTGTCATGTAGGGCAGTGGGTCATACCTGGGAGATGCTGGCTAAGATGAGGTCGTGTGATGCTTGGGAGATGCTTGCTAAGATGAGGTCGTGTGGCGCTTGACAGATGCTTGTTAAGATGACGTCGTGTGGTGCTGGCAGTCAATGGGAGATTAATGACTGGACCAGAGAAATAGGGTCGAATTCTCGTAAGGTTAGTCAATGGGTCTGAATACCTATATAAGGAGTTGCATTCACACCTTTCTTACGAGGTTCCCCTGCCATAGAATAAAAAAAAAGGCACACAGCTGGTACTACCTCCGACACTCCTTCGGGTCACTGGTGAATATACTAACAGGAGAAAAAAAAGTCAAATCACGGAATGAGTTGGGAATTGCAAAACAAATCACGTTCTGTGATTTGTTTTGCGATCGTGTTATTTCGATTTCATAAGTCATACCAACAAGAGCATTCGCTGTTACTTTTGCTACATCACTAATTTGTTGACTCGCAAGCACATGTCCAGCTAGATGGCATACTCTACCCTTCACGCACCTTCAGTAACCCAATGGCTAGGGGGTCGAAGAGTGTGTTATCACAATATTTCTCCTTAGCTATGTACGTTGAGGAACCTGTTTTAAACTTTGTGTGTGTGTGTGTGTGTGTGTGTGTGTGTGTGTGTGTGTGTGTGTGTGTGTGTGTGTGTGTGTGTGTGTGTGTACTCACATAGTTGTACTCACCTAGTTG